TAGTTTCCAAAACTCATATAATCTAAAGTTTTGAAAATATTCAAAAGCAAGTGTATAAAATGTATTTTGTTTTAATGACTGCATATGATTTATGAGTTTAAATTATTTATTGTTAATGGATAAATGTAAAAGCACTAGCTTAAAATCAAGGATCTTAAAAGAGGAAGTGCTGCTCTGTTATTGCCATGTTTCATCACAAAATTACCAACATCAGTGAGTTATGTTGATATTTTTGCCATTTTCGAATTGAAATATTTCCACAGTTACTGAATAAAGTTGTTTTTCACTGTCTTCCCGCAGGACCGCTTGTTCTTTGTGATGGAATATGTTAATGGAGGAGACCTGATGTTTCAGATCCAGCGATCGAGGAAGTTCGATGAGGCACGATCTCGTTTTTACGCCGCCGAGGTCACATCTGCCCTGATGTTCCTGCACCGACACGGAGTCATTTACAGGTAACCGTGATGTGTTTAAATGGTCAGCAGGCAACCATGCGATCTTTTTCTTTTCATGGTGTATTACCACATTTTAGCGGGTGTAGCAGTGTTTAGCACACCAGTCCTCTTTCAGGACATATTTTAGTTTTAGCCTTTTAACTCGCCCTTCTTTAATTGTGATTGCGAAGCGTGCACATGCTGCTTGTTCGATTAACAGGAGACATAAGAGAATTTCTGAAAAAAATCAAAGAATGAAGAAAACTGCAGCAAAGCCTTCCTTTCCTGAAATGTACATTGGTCTGAGTAGGTGTCAGAGCGCCCATGTTCTAACAACACATAACATGTTTCCATTGTTTGGACAGTCATTCAGAGGTGGGTGATTCACAGAATCACTGAGCACGTAATTTGTGAACTTTGTTGTCAAACTGCTCAGTGGCTGCACATCATTCTGCTGGTTTGAACGTTTCTGAATGCATGAACCATAAAAGGTGGAGTGGTAGGTTTGAAAATATATTTAAGAACCTTTAAATATGTACTTTTGAGTTTCCAAGGTGGAAAACACACATGACCAAATACTTTACAACTATTGCTTTGCTTTAATACATATGCAGCACAGTAATTAAAAAACATAAAGTCTTGTTAAAGTAATATTTTTCCTCTGTGCCAAATGTAGTTTTATCGGTTTATTGATAGTGGCTTTGGGGCAAGAACCAGTCCTTTTCAAATTTTGCTATACGGTGCTAGGTAACCATTTAATTTGACAAAAATGCTGCATAACATCTCTTCTGTGCAGTTTGCATGCTGTCACCATGCTTAATCTGCTTTACCTTGCTACTAATATTTTGTCATTGCCCTTGGCTAAGGCACTAGCATTTGTCCGAAGTTGGTACATCAGCACTGCAGTGCAGCAGTTTGTAATGCTTAAAGTCCGAGAATGAATGGAGAATCAACAACTGCAAACTTTATACAGTTTGTCCTGAACATTTTCTAAACACTAATAAATACACAACAATGTATTTATTGTAGAGTCATTTATTGCATGATTTATTAGCCAGTGATGGTGATGCTGGTAGCTGCATCCACCCCTGTATGTAGAAGTGTGTTCCAGTAAGTATTATTTATTTATTT